ACATTAGGCACCTGTAGTTTAACCTTAGGAGTTTGGAAGAAGTGTTAATGACATGCAGAAGACGTGTAGCGGGGGAGTTTTAGCCTGGTACTGTTTCTCTGGAACAGAGGTGAGAGAGGATTAGAGAAGACAACAGAAGTGTAAAAGAAGCCATGATGGCCTTAATTAGCAGTGTAACCTTCAAGAATGGGTAGTTGTGCCACTATAAGAAAGCTAAGAAATTTTTGTTGTGCTGGCTGGGAAATTGTAAAATAATGTTATTTTTTGCTGGGAGAAAAACTTCCATTTAAAGCTAAATGTGTCCAGTGGACAGCATCAATTGTACTGCTGGTTCTTCAACAACAAGTAGTAGTAACAGTGAATGCAAGTTTAAGCATTTTCATTCTCATGTGCTGACACACAAGATGTATCCCTTGGGGATCTTTCTGAATACAATTGAACTGAAGTATTAAATCAGTTCTAACAAAATTGTTCTGAAAAAACTAATTAGAGAAAACCTTGTACAGGAGAGAAAAAGAGTCCGGAGTCTTGGTTCGGATGTGATTTATTCTTGTCTTTGAATGTGCTTAACAGAGTGTCCCTAATGTTGTGTTAGATGCCGTTTTGGAAAAGGTTTGCCTTTCTTTACCGCACAAGTATAATTTAACCTTGGCCTTTGTGCAAGCTTTTTGCTAGTCTCAGTGCTTTTCAACACTGAAGTGTTGAATCTATCAAGGACTCCTAATCCTTCAAGAATGAGTAGCTGGTGTATATCTAGGTGACCCCAGAACACATGCCCTTATGTGACATTTCACTGTCACTAGAGAGATGAGGACTGGGAATTACTGAAGGAAAATATTTTAAGATGGTGCAAGTTTACACTTCCTGATATACACATTTTATTGCTACTGGAGATTTTAATATAAAAGCCTGTGGTCTTTGTATGTAGTACTTCAGGGCAAACCTAGAATAGGAAGCAGCATTTTCTAAGTGATAGTTGTGAGCCAACATTTGGTATACTTTCTCCAAGTGATTTATGCCACTCCTAGATGGGGAAAGGCTTCACCAAGAAAATAAAAATGACAGGAGAATTATGGCATTGGCAATATCACTGACTAAAAGTAATTGATGATGCAGTGCCTTCATTATTATGAAAGGGCCTGGGTAAAAATCCTGGTCATCAGAAAAAACTGGGACCAGTTTGAGGCTTTGCTTTATTTTTGTGTGTTTATACCATGGAAACTGATGGATTCTAGGAAGTATGGATACCATACCATACCCATACCATTTATATATGGTTTGGGAATATAGCCCTTGTGAATTGATGAATGTATAATAAGAAACTTTTTTTTGGCTTCTATAAGCTGATACAGTTACCAGGGAATTTGTTTTCTAGGAAATTCTTCATTGTTTTGGTGTCTCATGTGTTATTTCTCATTAATTGTAGTTTTAATCCTTGTCTTCTTCTTTTCTGAGCACAGGATTGCAGAGCACCTTCAAAGGTACATGTCAGTTTGTCCAGCAGAAACACAAGTGACTTTCACATGTTTAGAGGCTTTTTAGTAGCTCTTAGTCAATATGCAAAACTGGTCCTTCAGAAAAGAGTCACTGAGTTGAATAGTAGTCCCCTGTGTCCTGTGAATAGTAGTAACTCCTTGTTTGGGGATGAAATAATGTATTGGTTCAACTGGCCAAGAAGAGGGAAATTTGCCATCACAATTGGCAGCAGCATTGATTTGTGCTTCTTTAAACCATAACTGGGAAATAGATTTTTGACCATTAAGTAAGCCCAGACTGTATTTTGATGCAAACTTTGAGGCATACAGAAGGTTTGTTATGTACTACACCACTGAAAGTTGTGCAATTCAAATGAAGTAGCCACCTGGGTTATCTTGATCAGGGCATAGAAATGACAGTCAAAAGATTATGTAGGACATGGGTGCATGTTGGGTGCTTTCACGAGTGCTAAACAATACTACTTACTTTCTTGAAGCAAAACAGCATTCCAGAATATCATCATAAGAAATACTGAAAAATCTGATTATTCATGAGATAGAGGGTTGGGATTTTTACCATCTGTAGTAGCCATTGGCATAGTTTAAAAGAATGTAAAGGTAGTGTCAGTTGTTTGCTATCAGCTGGGCAGATTTGTTTGGTTTAGTAATATTCCATCTTTCATAATGTGTGGTCTTGCTAGTCCCCCAAATATTCTGGCTTTTATTAAATAGCTGTAGAACTTCTGTCATCTTTTCTTTTGGGAAGTACTTTGGGTGCTAACAATGAAGTTGTCAAACAACTGGTTTCTGTGGATCCTAAATTATAGATGTTTTAAAAAGCTAGTGTGTTTTATACAGACAAGCATAACTTCATGAGCTAACATCCCCTGGAGTTCCAGTGACGTTTCAAAATGTGAAGTATTTGTTTGATGCACAAGTTAAGAAGTGTCTTCTTGTTTGTGAATGTGTTTACTGTCTTGCATGAATCCTTCCCAGTTTTTTGTTTGAGATTTTTCTTTAGAGTCCCCAAATTAGATGGTTTAATTTTTTAAAATGGTTTGCATTTAACAATTCTAATTCAAGAATATATAGTAATTCTAGTGTCTTCATAAAAATAGTTACAGTCTGCACATTCCCAAGTGTGATCTTCCTGAGCTGAATTTTTTTCAGTTATTTGCAATGTAATTACTTTGATACTGCAATATAAAAATAATTAGATTTTTCTTTTTACTTGAATTTTAAGAGTAGACAGTATTTTTTCCTTGTTTAAAATCTTTCAGCTGCCTTTCTACAAAGACAGGCCAACGCTAGTAGAATCTTAGAAAACAAATTTCCACTTAGCTCTTGCTTTTTTTAAAAGCCAAGGAAAATAGCCAGAGAGACTATTTGTGTCATAACTGAATGATTGCATCAATATTTAACAACAGGCAGAGAAGTGTTTTCAAATGCTGTTTTGTGGAAGAGGATGTCCTATGCATTTCCCGGATGAAATCATTAGTTAGAAAGTTTTCAGCTTTGGCCTACAAAGTATTTATCTCCCACTAGCCTCTTCCTTTATTTCTGTTGTCTTTTCCTTGTTCCCAGAGGAACTAAGGGAAGGAGTGGGATTCTCATCCAGTAGACTTGTCTGTGCCACTCCTGTTCAGTCTAATGAAAGACAACTGGCCTAGAAGGCACTGCCTAAGCATAATATCCCATGAAATGAAAATTACCCCATGAAGAAGCATACATATTTTGCTCAAACTTTGATATCAAATTTTAAGCACACATGCACAAAAACTGGGAAATGCAGAAATTAAACTCATAATGCTAACCTTGTATTTTGATAAGATTATTTTTCATTTTCTAATAATTTTATTCTTCCTTTTTTTTTTCCCCTCTGGTATTAAAATCTAATTTTTGTGTGTGAAGCTGGTGTGGAAAGTATGATTAAGTTAAATGGATTTATCCCTTTTCATAATGTGAAACTTAGTTTCAGGCAAACCAAGTCATCAGCATAGTTTTGAAAAATACTCTGAAACTTGGTATCTATTTTTGTCAATGTTCCTATGTACTGTAACATAACCTACTCCAAGTAATTATCATATATTATACTGGTTGCCATTAGTGATTGGTATAATTAAGGTTGCAAATCAGTTTCCATTATAATCCCTTGTTTTCACACAGTCATAACTTGCCAAAACACTAGCCTTTGGGACTAAAGTTTTCCACATTTGTTTTACTTACAGGTAAAATTGGGGGAAGAGAGGAGGTAAAGGAGTTTGAACTACTCTTACAGCAAATCCTTGTCCAGTCATTTTGCATTATAGGATCAGACTGCATAGCAAGGAGCTAAATAGTTATCATTTCCAGGGTCTAGAAGAAAGGTTAAAGGCCAAGGAGTACAGAAGTGCCTTCAATTTTGGTTGCAATTCTAATTTTGACTAGTGCCACTGCTATTTTGTTTAGCAGCATCTCAACATAACACTGCAAACAGTATTAGTCTTACTTTATTAGCATCTATGTCCCACAGTTAAACAACACTATGTCAACTTACTCATAATCAGATGACAATTAGATTACAAAAGTGGAGAAGAGACGCAGTGGTCAGTTGTGGATTCAAGATTCCTGTTGTGAATCCCAGTCCTGAATGTTTTGCTGGTTTTTGAGGGTAAAAGCTTCCCTAAAGGTGAAGTGGGGAGGCAATATAAGAAAATGTTTACTGTAATTATTTTCCCAGTAGTAACTCCTAAATGTCAATAACTGCTGCACTGCTCTCTCCTGGGCAGAGAATAGCAGGTGCCTGTATCATTGCAGATAACCCTCTATGTAAACTTTTTATACTGACTGCTATGACAAGCTTGTTTAAGTTTGCATTTATAGTATTTTTGGTATGACTTGACAGTTTATTCTATCATATAAAGAGATTATGTTTTAAGTTGAGTTATAAGGGAGTTCTTGGGCAGGCAGAGTTGAAGGATAAGCTTTCAACCCTAACATTCATTTCCTGTGCTTGTTTTATCATCCCTAACATTACATTAACACTGTTTCTTTGCATAGAATTCATTTTAAAAAATGGTGATTGGTTCTTCCCCTCAGCCCTCCAGGAGAGTATTTTAATTAGTTTCTTGAGTCAGTGAGATGTCTTGCAGATGGGAAGGTTTCCACATCTGGATTCTTTTTACAGTTCAGGTCTTTGATCTGAAAATGTTACTACTCTCCTATGCCCTGTGATTTGTCTGGCAAGATGAGTTATTTACAAATTCAACTGCTCTTCTGACAACTGTTTTGAGTGTAAGTGCTGAGGTCTTGATCTGTAACCCACAAGGACTGCTGGTAGTCCTTTTATTGGTTTCAGAGGACTTTGTTTCAGATGTTTGGACTTTGAAGCACCCCAGGTGGATTACGTAAAGAAAGATGCTTTTTTCAGATTATTATAATTTAAAGATTTAGGATGCTGTGTCTGAAATAATTTTGATGGTGTTTTAAAAACTTGTGAATTTAAATCAGTTTCTGATATTTGTGTCTTTTCCTTTATTCCTCCAGTGGCAGATGAAAGAAAAGTTGGTTTGTTGGCCGGACACAAATCAGGTAAGATGTCCTATTTTGGAGAAAATATCAGCAACTTGAAAGTAGTATGGGTAGTAAATGAAATCAGCTTACAGAAATTGTGGTGACTAAGAGAGTTGAAAATTAAGGCATTACTTTGTATGCACTTGACTCCAAGTTGTACAGTGATGAATTAGGGGTTGCTCTTTGCCAGGCAGTGTATGTAGCCAAGTCATTTGCAGGAAGAGATGTAACTTTATTTTTCAGTGCAGGTGTTGTAAACTGAAAATGATGCCCTTTCAAATAAGGGCAAGTGCAACATGCATTATGGAGTGTACAGACTTAAACAATGCACATTTTGAAAAACATTTCTTTGCTTTTTCTTCTTCCACTGAGTTACACTTCCATTACAAGGAATATTGAAGATAACATTAAAAAATTATACGGAGTAAAATAAAGAGTGTCAAAGCTTTTCCTTCCATTGTCCTTGTGCAGTAGAAATAATTTGGTTTTTTCTTAATGTTTTCAGGCCATAGTAATAAAAAAAAGATTAGTCCATACTGCTGTCATTACTGTACCTACTACCAAATAAGTTCTGCAAACCACACCATGGTGCCATACAACTTGCAGTTTGCCTTGAAAGTTCTTTCAATACATCTCACATAAGATTGTAATTTTTCATAAACTGTGGGTATGCCGACATGAGAAACCTTAAACTTCCTAGAAAACCCAAGGTATTCAGCAAGCTCTTCTGATGTTAAAAACCCCTGAAGTTTCAGGCTGCCCCTTTATAGCATGATCATACATTGTCTTTTCCCACCCTTTTGATAGATCTATAAAGCTAAATTCCTGTAAAAGAAGGTCAACTATGAGATTCACGATTGTTTATTCTCTGTAGCTGGGTGTCCTCCTTTAGTTCTCTGGTGTGGATTTTCCTTATCTGAAGACCTTTTCCTGAACTTCGTAGACAAATTCTTTTTACTTTTTTTGGCATCTCTCCTAAGTCGGTGAATTTCTTGGATTCTCTTTCTGAATGAGGGAATAGTTCATATGTCTTGTAACGTTATCACTCCTGGCAAGAAAAAAATTCTTTCAACTTTCTGTTTTGGGAATGCGAAAGCTTCAAAGAAATGATCTTGTCAACTTGAAGCAGCTAGGGTGTTGCCCTTGGGTTTCTCCTTGTTCAGAAAAATTGCTACAAACATTGCAACATCATGCAGTTTACCAAAGATCAATGGAATTCACTGCTACCAAAGAATATTGGAGGGGAACCTGGTAGGATTATCACTCTTTGAAAATCAATTGTTGTGGGTACATTAAACTTTATATTTTCAGTAGCTTTTGAGCTTTCTTCTGCACATTTCTGCAGCTTCTTGAAAACTGTGACTTTGATAAGCTTTCTATTTGAAGACGCCTACAAATTTTATATGAAAACGTGGACCCATATTTATTGAACTTAGGCTTGTTCGCTTTACTTATTCTTCATAGACCTCTTACATATACCTAAGATCTTTTCTCATAGACTAAAATCAGTGGTCTACTGATCACCAAAGGAATAGATACGAAGATCCCACAAGTTGTTTCTTTATTTTTTTTCCTGTTCACAATAAAAGGAGCTAGCCAACTTCTGAGAAAGTTGGAGTGTAAATTTTTTTTTCTCAGACCTACCCACTTTAAATATTGTTCAAATAGCATTAAAAAATGTTTCTGCCCTCTCTATGTTCCATTTCCTAACCCTTCATAAAGAGAAATCAAGCTGCAGTTTCGTCTTTCTCATTGTTCCATTCAAATATTTATTTTAAAGGTTGGTTCAAGAACATGGTGTACTTTTTCTGTGGTCCCTTTTTACTCTATGCTTTTTGGAATTATATGTGCTTTTTTCCTGGTGTTCAGTCACATCACAGAACTCTTTAACACTGTTCATTGTACTGCCTTCCTATAGGTACCTTAAGAATATGCTAAGGGAGACATTGCAGCCTCTTGTGCTGGGAGCAAAACACGGTTATTTTCTCATTACAAAATAAGGAGTTTCCATCCTATTCTAGACTTCAGGAAATTAAATGTATTTCTCTGTGGAATTAATTATCACCTACTAACAATCAATGCAATTATCCCTTCTCTCCTTCAACATGACTTGTTCTATGAAATACGCAGTTGAGTGATTCTCTCTAGGGAAATATCTTTTCTATTCCTTTTGGGGCAGTGGCTCTTCAAGCATTTAGTCTCAGCTTTTGGTACAGCTACTGTATGCCTTGCATATTACGTGTTACTGAGCAGCAGCAGGAGTTAGAGGCATGTATTCACTTCAAAAACCATTAGCACGATTCTGCATAAGACCAAGGCATTAGAAGGATCTGTAGCTGTGGCATCTGTGAATTCTGGTTCTCATACCTGGCCTGCCTTTCACCCTGCTGAATGGAAGACTCCTTCAATGCTTAGAGGTGTTCTTGGTGTTGCAAATGTTTTTCACAACGGCATTGGCAAAAGAACTGGAGTGCTGTATTGGTGCAGCATACTTGTCCCTTTCTGGAAGAAACCTCATGGAGTTCAGAGTATGTGTGTGTGAGGCATCTTCTCTGAATCCTCTAAAGAGGAATTTGTCCTCTGTAACCTTCCTGTGTGCTCAGCAACGATATGTCAATTCCCTTGATGAGAACGAGAAGGAGACAAGTGGTGCCTCTATTGTAAAGCAGAGAAGAACCCTGAAAATTCACAAATATGAAAAGTCAGCAAACTTTAGCTTACTTTTTCATGAACTGTTAGCTTTTTAATAAAGCAGTTCTAAGACAGCTAGGATACCCTTCATAAGGAAGGGCAAGACTAGTGTATCAAATATAGCCTTATTTATAGCAAATACTGAAAGCAAGTACTGAATTATTTGGAAATATTTTAATATTTTTTCTGACATACTTTTTTGTGTTCTGATTTACTACTTAGAATGCTTTTTAGTATGTATTGCCTGTCTCCTGAGGTATTTGCTGACACAGCTCTTTCAGATGATGCAATGCTGGAGAAAGGCTGAAGAGTCTTTCTTTATGAGCTCTGACATATTAATTAGCAAAATGGCCAAAAAAGCTTTCCTATTTTAATTTTAATGTCACTGGAGCATGCTTTTGGCTGGGGTTATGCTTCAAGACAGTTTTGAGACAAGATGAGTAAGGTCTTGTTTTCTTGCTGGCTGCTATGTAGGGAACATGTGACTGGGCTATGGATTAGTACCAGCAGGGCTGAGTCATACAGGGTAGCTCTCATACCAAGCTGAATTTGAATTAATGCTATATGGTTAAACCATGACAATATGGCAAGAGGCAGCATCAGGACTTGAGTAGGAAAAGGCCAATTGGGATAGTTCCAAGGATTCTTCTGGTCAAGTTCTGCCCTTCTTGTTAATTTTGCTGATAGTACAGTTACCAGCTTACTGTTCAGCCTGTGGGTAGGATTAGTGTTCTGGGAAAGAAAGCTTGAAGAGGCAGGTGTGCAGCTAAATCCTGCAAGGTCAGGGTTTGATGAGGCCTGAGTGCCATCATGTCTGGTAGACCTCCAGTCTGTACTGCTTCATGCATGGGTAGCTGACTTGTGGTTAAACTGGGATTCAGAATGGAAGTGGAGATAGTTTGGAATAAGGTCGGTTAAAGGTCTCGGTGTATCTCTGCTTCCTTTAATGCCAGTATGTATTCTGTATTAAATACGTTTTGCTGAGATTTTGTTAAGCCTAAGGATGAGGATTAAAATTATGGTTTAGAACACAGGAGTGGTTGAAAAGTTAGGTTTATTGGTAGATTTTGTGTGACCCACTGCAATAGGGTATGGAAAGTGCCACAGATTAAACTTCATCATTACCTTCAGGAATGGCTCTTCAGCCTATTTCAAAAGCCATGGTTGTATTGGTAGATGAATTAAGTCTACAAGATGTTAAGGTTGCATCTATAAAAGCCTAAGCTGAATGTCCCATTGGGTTTGAAGTTGAGTGGCACAGGATGATCCCCATCTGTGCTGTGAACCTTTATTGTAATATGGTTTCCGTTTGCCTCCGGAAACTGTACCTGGTATATCCTAACTCCTGCACCATTTCTAGGAATTGTTTGGGCAAGCAGAGGGCTGTTATAACTTTTATAGTGTACATGGTTAAATTCTAATAAACTCAGGTGTGCCCAGACACTGCTAAATTTGCAAAATATAAATATAAGCTGCAATTTGAAGGACTCCAGCTGAGTTTTTCACAGGTCTGGTGCAGGTAGAATCCAGTGTGTAAAAGTTTGTTCTAGTAAAAGTGCAAATAATGACTAGGCTAAGCTTATTGCTGCAACTTGAGTTCAGGCTTGGAAGGGCAGACAAAACTGAAGAAGTTGGGTTTTTTTTAAAACTGGGAATCATGCAAAGTTGGAGCTATTGGAACACCAGCAAAATCCAGTGGTTTAAGCATGCTTACATTGCACAAAAGACTTTCTTTTAATCAGGGATTCCAGTGGGAGATAATAGTGGACTTGGGAAAGACTACCAAAAGCTTAGTGTGTGCTACTAGGCTTGTTTGAGACTTGTGCCATTGTAGCAAGTTTGACTTCTGGTTTGATTCTGATTTGCAGGTAACACAGTTATGTCAAAGTGGGAAGTGGTGTTCTCCTCTCCTCGTGCCAGATCTTAGAATTTTATTAAACAAACCTTCTTGCTGTTGTGGATATCATTAAAGCTGAGCCTTTCAAAGAGGACATTGGGTTTAGGACTGAGTTCATAAGGATTTATATAGTAACTAGCTCCACAATAGAAAAGACTGATGTAAATGGCTGAGCTGCCTGCCTGTCCAAACAAGGACCTTGCCACTAACTGAAAGCATATATCATATAGAATCTGACACTTGTCTTTACATCTGTGAGAGGAGAAAAACAGGTTAATTTTTATATAATTTTATTTTTCTTTGAAAATAAGAGTGTAATACTTTGCTGCAGTCATTCTTGCACATGTAAAGAGCAGTTGTCTACTTCACAGTCTACAGTATACCTTAGCAATCCCAGTGTGGCCTAGCCTATGTGTCCTGGCTTAGGTAC